TGACTTGAAGGGAGCATTTGCAAAGCAAGCTGGGTGCCTTTCAGCTCTTTGAGCATAGGTGCCCCCCCGGACGTGGACGGCGGCTCCACTTCCTCCCAGTGCTTCCTGCTTCCCAAACTCCTCCCTTCCCGTCCAGTCCTGCATCCGTCCCTCAGGCTCATGGTGTCCTTTTGATGAGGAGGTCCCTTGCCGGAGTTACTGTTCTTTATGGGTCTGTCTGCCCTGCGGCTTAAGGTTGATCAGGGGCTGGGTGTGGTTGGGTGGGGGGGGTGGGCTTCCTTCTTTCTTTCTGACACGTGAATACATTTCTTGATTGCCCCCTTTCTGTTGGTGATGAAAATCATGACAAAAACAAAAAAGAAATCCTCCCAAACACTTGTCAGGGACAATCGCGTGCGATTTCAACATCGTTTCTGATTGCACACGTAATTCAGAGGCTCAGCACCCTCCGGCCCGCCTTTCCATTTCTCCTCTTAAAATAGCCCACCCAGCACCTGGGCGTTGGGAACGTGGGGTGCCAGGGTTGGAGGGAGCCCCTCCGAAAGGTGGGACTGACACAGCTGGCGGCTGCAGCCCCAGGGCCCAAGCATGGTGATCGCGGGGCTGGCGCAGGGCCGGGCAGTGTTTTGGGCCGTTGGACATCGGAGCCAGCTCCAGGGCCCCTGAACGGCAGCGCTGTCCACGTGGGTGTCTGCCGCCTTTTGGGGGGCCCTCCTGGTTTTTTGGCTCGTTTGTTTTTCTAACGGAACTTGACAGGCTCGCAGTTTTAGCACAGCCAGCCTGGCGGTAGTGTCCCTGAGTGTCAGGCCAGGGAGAGAGGACAGCTATGTGGTGGGCCAGGGGCCCGCGAGGCCCGGCTGGCTGATGGTCCCTGCACTGGGCGAGCTGGCCACCTACCTACTCCGGTGGCTCCTTTCACTTGGCTCTTTGAGGGGCGGCCATAGGTTCTCCGCGGCTGTGCAGCCCACGGCACCTTCCTCAGTAGGTGGTGGAGAGCTGTGTTTCCCAAGGTGATGGGCAACACCACCCCCTGGGGGGGGTCCAGGGGATGCTGCCAAAGCAGGTACTGACCTTTTCTCCTGAGCGAGGGGCTCTAAGAACAAAGGTTTCATTGGGGGTGGGGTGGGGATGGACACTGGGTCATTTTTTTTCCATGACAAGGGGACAGGAGGCCATGTAAGCTGTGGAACTTCTGGTCTAGACAGACTGTTGTTCTTCTTCGGGTAAAGTTTTCTTGGAGGTCGAAATGTATCCGATAGAAAGGCAAAGTGACCCTTAAAGTCAGCGCATCTGGTGGCCCTGACTCCGGGCAATCGTGACGCCCCCTGGCCAAGATGGCCCTTGTGCCCGCTTCTGCTCCATCCGTTCATTCTGAGGTGTCCCAGTGCTTCCTCCTCCTCCCCTTCCATTTCTTCTTGGGTTGTATGATTTGTTCTTGGGTCGGTGGGGATGCAACAACTTTGTTCACAGAAGAGCGCAGTGAAACTTCTTGGGAGCTTGGAGGGAGGCCCAGCTGGGACACCTGTTCCCGGTGCAGGGCATGGTGCAGAGGGACTCAGGGTGTTGTAGGCAGGGTGCCTCCTCCCTCTCCCGGCTGCTTCCCAGCAAAGAGCAACCTCCGCTGGTTGGGAGGGACGCCTTCAGTATTAGTCTAGGTACTTT